ATTGTTGAAATCGCTGAAGTCACTGGAATCTTTAACCCTAGCCCACTCTAAGTTCAGGTTACATTGGACTTGAGGTCAGGGTAATGGCTAGGAAGGGTAGGGTGCTGTCCGCTAGGATAGAAAGCGAATTTTCCGCTTTTTGCACGCGGAACTCTTCCTCCCTGCTAACCCCCGTTCACTCCTCAGCAGCGGTGGACCTGGGAATCCTGCAGAAAAAGTTTTGCTCTGCAAGAAGCAGGAAAGTCGCTTGCTTTCTGTCCTAGTGAACCACACCCGGAAGGGTAGGGGTTACGATTGAGGGGTGGGTCTTCGACAAGCCGGCTTATGATCGGTCGCGAGGCACTGGTCCGCTATTTGAGTGGTTTCTGCTTCCAGCAATCTCAGCATTCAGTAGCATCATTAGCGGAAACCACTGTTGGCAAACGGGTGCCAGTCGCTCAGATGGCAGCCTGACAGCGGTCGTAGCAGGAGCTGCCAGGAAGACGCGCTTTTGTAGTTCAAGTTTCACACCTTGCCCGTGTGCTCAGTGCGAACGGCTTTCGTACCGTTCCACACATGGGTGAAAATCCGGATTGGGGGAGGGGGAAGGGCACTCCTTGCTATCTTATCCTTACAATTCGTTGACGACTCTTCTAAAGTGCTCTTCTGCTAAGAACCGGTGGAAGTCCCACATTCCATCCTGTCCCATCATCCAGTTTTTTGCACCACGTCATCCACCCTGGAGCTCCCACCCTTAGGCCGAGGCAAAGATCTCCATTCTCCCGTTCAGGACCGATTCTTTGGTCCACTACAGGTCAAATTGCGAAAGGCAGAAAGCGATTTTCGCGCTTCGCAATGCGACATCGCGCGGCAGGCCAGCGCTCCCACAGCGAAAACAGCTACGGTACGAGGGGCGCGTGAATGGAGCGCGTTATTTGCTCTGGTTCTAAGTTGCGACAAGGAATTTGAAGCTTACTAACCATGGACTTGATAGTGAACGAGGAAATGGCCACCAGAAGAGGACCACTAAATAGCAGTGAAGAAAGAGGTAGGTTAATTTTGCAGAGGATGGATGGTAGACCCTGGAAGAGGAGTGGTTGATGGACGTTCGATGAGACTCACGACAAAGGATCAGTTCGTCAGAGTTTGCTATGATATATAGAGTATTACCTAGGCCGATGAGTGTGTAATTACCTCGTTCACCAATAATTTGAAGTGTTCTAGAATTCTAGAATACCACTTTAACGGCATCGCTCGGAATCGTGTAATTCACAAAACATTTCCATTGATGAGAGAGAATTGGTGATTCACCGCATGTCTCAATACAATGAGTGTGAGCGTGGGCAAGCAATAAATCAGAAACTTACAAATTCACGCATGCGAAAAAAGCTGCTCCAATCGCGCGCTCTTCATACCGTAGCTGTTTTCGCTGCGGGAGCGCTAGCCCGCCGCGCGATGTCGCATTGCGAAGCGCGAAAATGTCGCTTTCTGTCCTAAGTACACCACACCCTCGCCCCCCACCAAACCAGATTTCACCCCACACATGTCATTGCACTGGTGCAATACTTTGCCCGTGCAGAAATACTGTATAGAGTGCGCGAAAGACGCAAAAAACCGAGCCAGGACGTAATGGATGCGTCGGTCGTCCGACAGCAAGATCGTCCGACAGCAACGATCGTAACGGTCGCACAGCGGTTCAGATACGTATCGATCGTCGAATACTTAGGCAAATCTGGCGATCGATACGCATCTAATGCTGTGCGTCAGTTACGACCGTCGCTGTCGGACGACCGACTATGCACGCGTCCTCAGGCGTGAACTTCGAAATGCCAACAGCGGTAATCTCGCAGTACTTCCTATAACAGACCTGCCTTAAGGTACACTACAAAGAAAGCTTACTTTCTAAGATCCACAGAATAGGTCGGCTTCTTGTCGCGTACGTAATCACGCAAATTCCGGTTATTGCAGCAAGGAGCAATGTTATTGTTGTTGGTGAGATACGATGGATGGAATACTTCTCTCTGCAACTCATCCTCGGCCAATAGCGAACTTGGGCTGAGCTGAGAATTTGATGGCGACGTTGAATTGTGAAGAGAGCTTTCGCTGAAACCTGCTTATATCAATATGCAAATTGACAAATCATAGTAAAAACTCAGTATGAAAAAGAACGCAGTGCAGATGTAATTAGAAGAAACTTCATTTGAACGATTATTAGATACGAACAGAAAGACATATGGGAATGCAACCAAGGACGTTTCTCAGATGTTTTTGTCGTTACTAAGCCTTATGGCGTTGTTTTAGCGGAGTGTCTTGAATTACTCAATTAGAGATCAAAGTGGACTAAATAAACAAGTACCAGCTGAAAGCTACTTTTCAAGGCACAATTTTCACATTATCATCAACTTCGACTTGTTGCTTTTCAAACTTATTAATCCCAAATAAGTTGGCTTAGCCAGTAGCAGTTTTGTCCTTTATGTACTCTTCATCATAAAAACTTTCATAATACCACAAACGTCATGTCACCAACGTCCAGCTGCCCGTTCGTCACCTACC